AGGGTATGGGCTAGTATGGTCCACCATGCAAACAGGCTGTTCTGGTCCTGCATCTTCTGCTGACCTATTGAAAACAGGTCGACCCCAATGTGATATAGAACATTAAGATGCATTATGTATGCCTTTTGTTTTTATGTTTTTATTTCATGGTCCAGCTCCTGCTCCAACTGGACGATTCTATCAGCCACCCTGTAAATAGTTTTAAAAAAGTATTCCCACTCCCACAGTCGGACTGAGCATTTCAGTGGCCCAAGGAGGCTCAGGGAAATAAATTATAAAAAAGAATAATTTATAGTTATATAAAAAAAAAATACACATACAATGATTTATTAGACATAAAGTGATGATTTTAAACAATAATTTTAAAAGACTAAATGGGGCGCTGTTTAACTAGTGCTGTGAAATGGCTGCTGTAAGCAGTCTCACTTAAACCCTCATATACGTCGCCCCGTTTGACCTGCAACTTGGTATGTGCAGTAGGTGTCTTTCCTGATGCTCATTATAGATGTTCCTCCATCTTGGACATTTTTGAAAACCTTCAAAAAATAATAATCTTCTCGTGACCCATACAGTGGCTTGCAAAAGTATTCACCCCCCTTGGCATTTTTCCTATTTTGTTGCCTTACAACCTGGAATTAAAATGGATTTTTGGGGGGTTTGTATCATTTGATTTACACAACATGCCTACGACTTTGAAGTTGCAAAATATTTGAAACAAAGAAGTAAGACCTAAAAACAGAAAACTTGAGCGTGCATAACTATTCACCCCCCCCCAAGTCAATACTTTGTAGAGCCACCTTTTGCAGCAATTACAGCTGCAAGTCTCTTGGGGTATGTCTCTATAAGCTTGGCACATCTAGCCACCGGGATTTTTGCCCATTCTTCAAGGCAAAACTGCTCCAGCTCCTTCAAGTTGGATGGGTTCCGCTGCTGTACAGCAATCTTTAAGTCATACCACAGATTCTCAATTGGATTGAGGTCTGGGCTTTCACTAGGCCATTCCAAGACATTTAAATGTTTCCCTTTAAACCACTCGAGTGTTGCTTTAGCAGTATGCTTAGGGTCATTGTCCTGCTGGAAGGTGAACCTCCGTCCCAGTCTCAAATCTCTGGAAGACTGAAACAGGTTTCCCTCAAGAATTTCCCTTTATTTAGCGCCATCCATCATTCCTTCAATTCTGACCAGTTTCCCAGTCCCTGCCGATGAAAAACATCCCCACAGCATGATGCTGCCACCACCATGCTTCACTGTGGGGATGGTGTTCTCGGGGTGATGAGAGGTGTTGGGTTTGCGCCAGACATAGCGTTTTCCTTGATGGCCAAAAAGCTCCATTTTAGTCTCATCTGACCAGAGTACCTTCTTCAATATGTTTGGGGAGTCTCCCACATGCCTTTTGGCGAACACCAAACGTGTTTGCTTATTTTTTCTTTAAGCAATGGCTTTTTCTGGCCACTCTTCCATAAAGCCCAGCTCTGTGGAGTGTACGGCTTAAAGTGGTCCTATGGACATATACTCCAATCTCCGCTGTGGAGCTTTGCAGCTCCTTCAGGGTTATCTTTGGTCTCTTTGTTGCCTCTCTGATTAATGCCCTCCTTGCCTGGTCCGTGAGTTTTGGTGGGCGGCCCTCTCTTGGCAGGTTTGTTGTGGTGCCATATTCTTTCAATTTTTTTTATAATGGATTTAATGGTGCTCCTTGAGGTGTTCAACGTTTCTGATATTTTTTTATAACCCAACCCTGATCAGTACTTCTCCACAACTTTGTCCCTGACCTGTTTGGAGAGCTCCTTGGTCTTCATGCTGCTGCTTGCTTGGTGGTGCCCCTTGCTTAGTGGTGTTGCAGACTCTGGGGCCTTTCAGAACAGGTGTATATATACTGAGATCATGTGACAGATCATGTGACACTTAGATTGCACACAGGTGGACTTTATTTAACTAATTATGTGACTTCTGAAGGTAATTGTTTGCACCAGATTCATAGCAAAGGGGGTGAATACATATGCACGCACCACTTTTCCGTTATTCATTTTTTAGAATAGTTTGAAACAAGTTTAATTTTTTTTTTCATTTCACTTCACCACTTCACAAATTTGGAATATTTTGTGTATGTCCATTACATTAAATCCAAATCCAAATCAATTTAAATGACAGGTTGTAATGCAACAAAATAGGAAAAACACCAAGGAGGATGAATACTTTAGCACGGCGCGGTAAGTCCTAATAACACCATGGTAACATCGCTTAACTTAGATTGAGAAAAGCTAAGGGATTGGTTAAGAGACGGCTGAGTTATTGATGAATCAGGAAATCAGATTTTATGTGTCCATTTAAACAACTTTAAATCCACTCCACTGTGGCCTATCATCTTGAAACGTGTCATCGCTATCATGGACGTCCCAAAGATGAACCACACTGAATTTGCTATTGATATCTCAAAAAGCAAGGAAACTATTAACTCATTCTTCGCATACGTAACGCTAACGGTCAATCGCAAATCATCTGCAATCATCTTATTCTCATGAACCATAAATCAGATTGACTCCAGATTTGGTATATAAACTCATTGATTTAGCTTCTAATGAATTTAAGAATTAGTATTTGCTGCATTCAAAGTCGGTCACGCTACACACCTAGATATCATCATATCACACCAGGACTGTAAGAACTGAATCAATGCACATAGGGCCATGAAATTTGGTATCTACACCTTATGTATATGTCCTTAGAAGCTGTGTGAATATAAAGTCACTGCAACTTTAGATGGTGGCACTATAGGATACTAGAGCAATAACTATTGATCCAATCAGATCAAATTGTATTTGTCACATGCGATAAAAGAAAGGCGGAGCAAGTAAGTCTCCAAAAACCAGCTGACAGCCAAAATACGAAATACTACCTAAGACTGAAACAAATAACGAAACAGGGAGAACACTTCTCAAGTACCTGTACGTAGATCTCCGATCAGACACTGAGTAGTACTGCTGGACATAGAGAAACTAGCAGAGAAAACTGAGCAAGGGAACACAGGGAAGTGAGGGCATAAATACACAGGTGAACCGATAGACACAGGTGACACCAATAGGATGATGATTAGTCCCGACTGTGAGTGAGGAGGTGCCTAAGGTTGTCGGAGGAAGACACCTAGTGGGTCGCTCCGGAACTGCGACCCCCTCCTGTAACACAACTGGTGTAGAATTTACAGTGAAATACTTGCTTACGAGCTCTTCCCATCAATGCAGAGTTTAAAAATACAAATTAAAACACTATCACAGGAGGAACAAAATAACATACACAAGAATGGAGCTATATACAGGGAGTATCATTACCAGATCAATGTGCAGAGGTACGTGGTATTTGAGGTAGATATGTACAGGATATATAATAATAAGAGTGAAATTATGAACAGAGAAGCAGCAGCAAATGATGAGTGTAAAAGTGTGTGTGAGTGTGCATGTGTGTGTGTAATGTGTATGTATGTGTGTTTGTGTTGTGTCGACCACGGTGATATGCCGGGCTGTCCGCACCACCCTCTGTAGCGCTTTGCAGTCAAGGGCGGTGCAGTTGCCATACCAAGCGGTGATGCAGCCAGTCAACATTCTCTCCATGGTGCAGCAGTAGAACTTTTAGTGGACTTTGTCTCATGCAAATGAATGTTAGATTCAAATTTTGCAGACAAACAATGTGAAATATTATGATTATAATATCTTTATTATCACATATTGTTGCCCTATTATGTGGTCTGAAAGTAGTGATCTTTTATTCATGAAAATTAGAAACTGGAAGTCCTGCCTCTTGCGCAGTCAGTGTATATTTATAAATATTTATATTTATGTATCAACTCAATCCATTAAATGATGATTACCTGCTGCAATGATAACCAACCTACAGCACTAGACTAAACTTCACTTCCTTGTGGTATTGAGAGATAAACATGTTAATGCGTTCACTGATTGCATATAAAGGAAGATAGTTCCTTCATGATAGAGCGCTTGCTTTGTTATCCAACTGATCTTGTTCTTTCTGTCATCCTGTGAACCCTGTTCATTGCTGCTCGCATCTACATTTAGTTTTTTGGATGCTGAAAACGTTTAACTTATTGTCAACCACTAGAAATGTGAATCTATTTCTGAATTAAAATGTGTGTCCAGTTGTCTTTAAAAAAATAACATTTTTACTAAAGATGCAAACGTTTGGCTTTCTCTTTGTCTTAGGTTGGCCATGGGTGGAAAGGGCTTCCTGGGTTGTTTCATCCTGTTTCTGTCTCTGGCTTCAGTATCCACTATCAAACAAACCCTTATTTCAATAAATGACCTCAGGGGCATAGAGTTTGGCCACACCTCTCCTCGACACGGCCTCATGCTGCTCCACTGGCTAGCCAACAACATTCACACTGACAACAACGGCAACATGAGATTCCATTTCAACCCGACTAGAGGAGACTATGGCTTTCATTTCTATGGAAACGCTGACAGACCCCGCCCTTTACCTTTTCTGCCCTCTGAAAGTGGAAGTTACTACTCACTAGGGAATATTGATAGCAATTTGAACTACAATGGCGCTACGGCACTTCCTGATTATGTCACTCAAAGCTTCTACAACTCATGGACACCTGAGAGGAACAGGGACAGGGTCATTATCAGAGTTAGGGAGGAAGGATCCAATCAGTTCATAGTAGATGAGGTCTACATTACACAGCATTATCCACCAAATGAAAACAGAGGAAGTGCCTATGATCCAGACAATACATACCCCGTCAGTTTCAGCCTCTTAACACAAATCCAAGTTCTCCCAACCATTACCCGAGATGTGATTCAACGTATACACAATGTAGAGATCAACGACAACAGTGTGGAGAACATCTGGGGACACACACCTGGGCTGGCACTTCTTTTGGCAATTGCATTGTACTTGACACGTCCCAAGGTATCATTTATACAGCAAGCGTTTTCTAGCATGGACAGCCAGCGTCGCACACAGGATGATGACAATAAATCGATAAAGCTTGAGGTGAAAACTACAGATAGAGGGTGTGCCAGGATCATCTTCAGTGGTATCCCCAAGAGGCTTTTGGACAAGGGTGTGATTTGGGCGCTTTATAAGAACAATGACAGTACGGACAGGCTAGACTTTGCCTCAGTCCAGGACAGCGCCTCTGGGAGCTATGACACCTCAGTATCCCTCAACCCTGGTCTCCAGGCCAGGCTTCATCAGTACAAATATATGTTTGCTTTTGCATTATGCGGGAAATACAACACATTTGGGGAGGACATACATAGGAGTCCTGAGTTTCATGATGCCAACAGAGAGATTCCTGTTGATATAAGCGGCCATAGGCCTAACGCTAGTCTGCAGCTTTTCGTAAAGGACGGAAAGGCCTGCGCTCGCCTGTACGTGAAGAAGTCCTTCACTGACTGGAAGGAGAAGTTTTATAACTCATGGGTTGGGTTCTACTCTTCGGAAAGAAAAGACACCCAGGAATATAATACCTACCAATGGCAATGGGCTGTGAATTTTTCGGAGGAAAGACGCTCAGATTGGAAAGGGATACCTGAGTACGACGTCTATGTGTACAGCTCTAGTATGACTATGTGTCCTGGGGTCCAGGCCCGATTCATGCTGGAGAAATACAGGGGTGAAAAGGCACGCACTCCACCCTGGGAGGTTCATACATCAGCAATTTAAAGCACACTACTTTTTACTAGTCACCGTTCTTTTGTCCATCGTATTTAGCCGGGTTCTCACATGCCCTTCCTCTACTGATTATTAATGGATTATTATGTATGGGATTCTGTATCCTGTTTCGTATTGATTACATACAGCATTGATATATTTTTATTGATAACTAATTGCGTAATTGCCTCTGTCCATGTTTGTTTACCATGTCTGCATCCTGCTTGTCCTTTTTATTGATTGATTTGAATTGCTAATCTGTGCAAAGTGTAAAAAAAAGTCTGTTCTCAATAAAGCTATTGAGGAAATGTAAGGGAAAATACAATTAAAAAGCTGTGAAAACCAAATAACCTTGTGCCGTCTTGAGCACTTAGAAGACGGTCTGGTTGCGATAATACTAGCCGGTCAAGCTGATTTTTGACTAATGTCAGTAGTCAGACAGTTTTCATATTATTGTGATGTGTTATGAAGGATGGAAGCGTTTGTGAACTGTCAAATGTACTGTACATACACACATACATACACACATACACACACACACACACACACACACACACACACACACACACACACACACACACAGGATTGCATGAAATGTTTTAAACCTACAAATATAGCATCTTAATTTCAAGGAAAGCACATGTAAGTGAATGGGTTTGCCAACATTATAAAGCTTTCTTTACCCTTTGTGGTCGTTACTAAGGTTAACAATGGGCCTCACGTCCATAATGGCACAAACCGGTCTTCTTCCATTCCAACCCATCTGAGCTTCAAAGGTGTGCAGACCAGGGGGTGTGGCCGCACCTGGTATGTAGGATTCAAGAAGCATGGCTTTCATTTCTATGGAAACGCTGACAGACCCCGCCCATTACATTTTCTGCCCTCTGAAAGGAGTAGTTATTACTCTCTAGGGATAAGTTTAATTTCTGATGAAACAAATCAAATCAAATTGTATATGTCACGTGCCGAATACAACAGGTGTTACAGTGAACTAATTACTTACAAGCCCTTAACCAACAATGCAGAATTGGTAGCTCAATTGGTAGAGCATGGCACTTGTAATGGCAGGGTAGTGGGTTCGATCCCCGGGACCACCCATATGTAAAAATGTATGCACACATGACTGTAAGTCGCTTTGGATAAAAGCGTCTGCTAAATGGCATATTATATTTATTATTTTAATATTATTATATTAAAAGAAAAATGTGTGATAAGCAAAAAATAGAAAAGTAAAAATAAATGAATAAATAAAATAGAAAAAATAATGTATATAGTAAGTACAAGCTGGAAGTAGAGGCTTAAGCATTGTTGTTCACTAGTTTACTCCAATTAGGGAAAGGGTGGTCGGGTTGGAAAGTAATAAAGGGGATTATTTTTATTTTTTTAAGGATATGTATGTATGTATGTATGTATGTATGTATGTATGTATGTATGTATGTATGTATGTATGTATGTATGTATGTATGTATGTATGTATGTATGTATGTATGTATGTATGTATGTATGTATGTATGTATGTATGTATGTATGTATGTATGTATGTATGTATGTATGTATGTATGTATGTATGTATGTATGTATATAAAAACATGGGTGATTGGAAGTGATGCAGACAATTACATTGATGGAAGTTACAATCCATCTGCAATATTGAGCTGATCTACCCCCTAAAAAATACAATAATAATGGATAAGTAAAAAATAATTAAAGAGCAGCAGTAAAATAAAATAACAGTAGGGAGGCTATATACAGGGGGTACCGGTACAGAGTCAATGTGAAATAACAGTAGGGAGGCTATATACAGGGGGTACCGGTACAGAGTCAATGTGAAATAACAGTAGGGAGGCTATATACAGGGGGTACCGGTACAGAGTCAATGTGAAATAACAGTAGGGAGGCTATATACAGGCTGTACCGGTACAGAGTCAATGGGAAATAACAGTAGGGAGGCTATATACAGGGGGTACCGATACAGAGTCAATGGGAAATAACAGTAGGGAGGCTATATACAGGGGGTACCGGTACAGAGTCACTGGGAAATAACTGTAGGGAGGCTATATACAGGGGGTACCGATACAGAGTCAATGTGAAATAACAGTAGGGAGGCTATATACAGGGGGTACCGGTACAGAGTCAATGTGAAATAACAGTAGGGAGACTATATACAGGGGGTACCGGTACAGAGTCAATGGGAAATAACAGTAGGGAGGCTATATACAGGGGGTACCGGTACAGAGTCAATGTGAAATAACAGTAGGGAGGCTATATACAGGGGGTACCGGTACAGAGTCAATGTGAAATAACAGTAGGGAGACTATATACAGGGGGTACCGGTACAGAGTCAATGGGAAATAACAGTAGGGAGGCTATATACAGGGGGTACCGGTACAGAGTCAATGTGAAATAACAGTAGGGAGGCTATATACAGGGGGTACCGATACAGAGTCAATGGGAAATAACAGTAGGGAGGCTATATACAGGGGGTACCGGTACAGAGTCAATGTGAAATAACAGTAGGGAGGCTATATACAGGGGGGTACCGGTACAGAGTCAATGTGAAATAACAGTAGGGAGGCTATATACAGGGGGTACCGGTACAGAGTCAATGTGAAATAACAGTAGGGAGACTATATACAGGGGGTACCGGTACAGAGTCAATGGGAAATAACAGTAGGGAGGCTATATACAGGGGGTACCGATACAGAGTCAATGTGCGGGGGCACAGGTTAGTCGAGGTAATTGAGGTAATATGTACCTAGTGGTTTACTGTAACTATTGTCCTGAAGACTTTTTATGTATTGCCAACCACTAGAAATAAGTTACAGATATCAGTCCAGATAATTTGTGTCTTTTTTTCTGAAAGTACAAACATTGACACAATTGTTGTTTTGTCTTAGGTTGGCCATTGGTGGAAAGGGTTTCCTGGGTTGTTTCATCCTGTTTCTGCCTCTGGCCTCAGTATTCACTATAAATGCCAATATACTTTAACCCTCATCTCATTAAATGATCTCAAAGTCAGAGTTTAGCCACACCTCTCCACAACATGATCCTGCTCCACTGGCTAGCCAACAACATGAATATTGAAAACAATGGAAACATGATTTTGATCCAACTAGGGGGGACTATGGCATTCATTTCTAAAAACATTCTAGCCATGAAAGATCCCTTCTGTTACCTTTACATTTTAGCAGATGCTCTTATCCAGAGTGACTTACAGTTAGTGAGTACATACATCATTTTTTTTTATACTGGCCCCCCATGGGAATCGAACCCACAACCCTGGCATTGCAAACGCCATGCTCTTCCAATTGAGCTACATCCCTGCCGGTCATTCCCTCCCCTACCCTGAGCCAATTGTGCGCCGCCCCATGGGTCTCCCGGTCGCGGTCGGCTACGACAGAGCCTGGATTCAAACCAGGATCTCTAGTGGCACAGCTAGCACTGCGATGCAGTGCCTTAGACCACTGCGCCACTCGGGAGACACACTTTTCTGTCCCCTGAAAGAGGATGTTACTACTCTCTAGGGAATGTGTCCCCTGAAAGAGGAAGTTACTACTCACTAGGGAATGTGTCCCCTGAAAGAGGACGTTACTACTCACTAGGGAATGTGTCCCCTGAAAGAGGAAGTTACTACTCACTAGGGAATTCTACTAGAGGACAGAGTCATTATCAGAGTTTGGCCTAATCAGCACATAATGAGGTCTACATCACACAGCATTATCGCCCAGATGAGTACAGAGGGAGTAGCTATGATCCAAGCAATACAGACCGTGTGGATGTCAACCTCCTAAGAGAAATTCAAATGATCTCAACCTTTACCAGAGGTGAAACTCCATATACAGTGGGGAAAAAAAACTATTTAGTCAGCCACCAATTGTGCAAGTTCTCCCACTTAAAAAGATGAGAGAGGCCTGTAATTTTCATCATAGGTACACGTGAACTATGACAGACAAAATGAGAAAAAAATATCCAGAAAATCACATTGTAGGATTTTTAATGAATTTATTTGCAAATTATGGTGGAAATTAAGTATTTGGTCAATAACAAAAGTTTCTCAATACTTTGTTATATACCCTTTGTTGGCAATGACACAGGTCAAATGTTTTCTCTAAGTCTTCACAAGGTTTTCACACACTGTTGCTGGTATTTTGGCCCATTCCTCCATGCAGATCTCCTCTAGAGCAGTGATGTTTTGGGGCTGTCGCTGGGCAACACGGACTTTCAACTCCCTCCAAAGATTTTCTATAGGGTTGAGATCTGGAGACTGGCTAGGCCACTCCAGGACCTTGAAATGCTTCTTACGAAGGCACTCCTTCGTTGCCCGGGCGGTGTGTTTGGGATCATTGTCATGCTGAAAGACCAAGCCACGTTTCATCTTCAATGCCCTTGCTTATGGAAGGAGGTTTTCACTCAAAATCTCACGATACATGGCCCCATTCATTCTTTCCTTTACACGGATCAGTCGTCCTGGTCCCTTTGCAGAAAAACAGCCCCAAAGCATGATGTTTCCACCCCCATGCTTCACAGTAGGTATGGTGTTCTTTGGATTGGCGGCGTAGTGTGTTACTGATGGTAGGCTTTGTTACTTTGGTCCCAGCTCTCTGCAGGTCATTCACTAGGTCCCCCAGTGTGGTTCTGGGATTTTTGCTCACCGTTCTTGTGATCATTTTGACCCCACAGGGTGAGATCTTGCGTGGAGCCCCAGATCGAGGGAGATTATCAGTGGTCTTGTATGTCTTCCATTTCCTAATAATTGCTCCCACAGTTGATTTCTTCAAACCAAGCTGCTTACCTATTGCAGATTCAGTCTTCCCAGCCTGGTGCAGGTCTACAATTTTGTTTCTGGTGTCCTTTGACAGCTCTTTGGTCTTGGCCATAGTGGAGTTTGGAGTGTGACTGTTTGACGTTGTGGACAGGTGTCTTTTATACTGATAACAAGTTCAAAAAGGTGCCATTAATACAGGTAACGAGTGGAGGACAGAGGAGCCTCTTAAAGAAGAAGTTACAGGTCTGTGAGAGCCAGAAATCTTACTTGTTTGTAGGTGACCAAATACGTATTTTCCACCATAATTTGCAAATAAATTCATTAAAAATCCTACAATGTGATTTTCTGGATTTTTTTCCCTCAATTTGTCTGTCATAGTTGACGTGTACCTATGATGAACATTACAGGCCTCTCTCATCTTTTTAAGTGGGAGAACTTGCACAATTGGTGGCTGACTAAATACTTTTTTCCCCCACTGTAATTAAGTGATAAATGAAAACAGTCTGAATCATGTTGCAAAACACGGAGTACCCCTGGTCTGCCACTTTTACTGGCAATTGTACAGTACTCCACATTCTTCAGTGGATCAGGTAAACCACGAAGGCTTTGTGTCATTGAAATTCTCAATGACAGGATGGAGGATGATGACTTCATATTGTTTATCACGGTAATAACCACGCAAGAAGCAAAAGTCATCTGGAGTGGTATCCCCAACAGGCTTTTAGACCAGGGTGTAATGGTGGTGCTTTATAAGGATAATGATGGTGACATTAAGAGCAAGCTAGACAGTGTCTTGGCTGGCAGAGACTCTGGGAGCACCTCAGTACCCCTCAACCCCTGGTCTCCAGGTCAGGCTCCATAAAGTATCATGCTGGTCCACTGTCGGGAAGGAGATCTGGAGAGGTCCTGTGTTTCATGATGCCAACAGAGAGATTCCTGCTGATATTAATGGTTAGGATGCCAGTCTGAAGCTCTTCGTGAAGGACGGAAAGGCCTGTGTGTGAAGAAATCCTTCACTGAATGGAAGGAGAAGTTAAATAACTCCTGGGTTGGGTTCTACTCTTCCCATAACAAATCCATGCTCTACTATAATACCTGGCAATGGGCAGTGTCTTTTTCTAAGGAAATACGATCAGATTTGGAGGATATACAGTTGAAGTCGGTAGTTTACATACACCTTAGCCAAATACGTTTAAACTCAGTTTTTCACAATTCCTGACATTTAATCCTTGTAAATATTCCCTGTCTTATGTCAGTTAGGATCACCACTTCATTTTAAGAATGTGAAATGTCAGAATAATAGTAGAGAGAATGATTTATTTCAGCTTTTATTTCTTTCATCACATTTCCAGTGGGTCAGACATTTACATACACTCAATTAGTATTTGGTAGCATTGCCTTTAAATTGTTTAACTTGGGTCAAACGTTTCGGGTAGCCTTCCACAAGCTTCCCACAATAAGTTGGGTGAATTTTGGCCCATTCCTCTTGACAGAGCTGGTGTAACTGATTCAGGTTTAGAGGCCTCCTTGCTCGCACACGCTTATTCAGTTCTGCCCACATATTCTCTATAGGATTGAGGTCATGGCTTTGTGATGGCCACTCCAATACCTTGACTTTGTTGTCCTTAAGCCATTTTGCCACAACTTTGGAAGTATGCTTGGGGTCATTGTTCATTTGGAAGACCCATTTATGACCAAGCTTTAACTTTGTGACTGATGTCTTGAGATGTTGCTTCAATATATCCACATAATTTTCCTTTCTCATGATGCCATCTATTTTGTGAAGTGCACCAGTCCCACCTGCAGCATGATGCTGCCACCCCCGTGCTTCATGGTCGGGATGGTGTTCTTCGGCTTGCAAGCGACCCCCCTTTTCCTCCAAACATAACAACGGTCATTATGGCCAAACAGTTCTATTTTTGTTTCATCAGACCAGAGGACATTTCTCCAAAAAGTAAGATATTTTTCCCCATGTGCAGTTGCAAACCGTAGTCTGGCTTTTTTATGGCGGTTTTGGAGCAGTGGCTTCTTCCTTGCTAAGAGGCCTTTCAGGTTATGTCGATATAGGATTCGTTTTACTGTGGATATAGATACTTTTGTACCTGTTTCCTCCAGCATCTTCACAAGGTCCTTTGCTGTTGTTCTGGGATTGATTTGCACTTTTCGCACCAAAGCATGTTCATCTCTAGGAGACAGAACGCGTCTCCTTCCTGAGCGGTATGACGGCTGCGTGGTCCCATTGTGTTTATACTTGCGTATTATTGTTTGTACAGATGAACGTGATACCTTCAGGCATTTGTAAATTGCACCCAAGGATGAACCAGACCTGTGGAGGTCTACAATCTATTTTCTGAGGTCTTGGCTGATTTCTTTTGATTTTCCCATGATGTCAAGCAAAGAGGCACTGAGTTTGAAGGTAGGCCTTGAAATACATCCACAGGTACACCTCCAATTGACTCAAATTATGTCAATTAGCCTATCAGAAGCTTCTAAAGCCATGACATCATTTTCTGGAATTTTCCAAGATGTTTAAAGGCACAGTCAACTTAGTGTATGTAAACTTCTGACCCACTGGAATTGTGATACTATGAATTATAAGTGAAATTATCTGTCTGTAAACAATTGTTGGAAAAATTACTTGTGTCATGCACAAAGTAGATGTCCTAACCGGCTTTCTAAAATGATAGTTTGTTAACAAGACATTTGTGGAGTGGTTGAAAAACGAGTTTTAATGAGTCCAACCTAAGTGTATGTAAACCTCCGACTTCAACTGTATGTTGTTTCATCGTCTTTGAAATCGACATGATTGTTCTTTAAGTCCCCACCGACCATTTCCCACATTCTTTATGGTAGGAATATTGTTTCATTATCCACTTTTGAATGTTGGAGTTTTGGTGGGAAGAATCTCTGTGTTAACAAAGGTGTCCTTTCTCCCAATACTTCATGGCAAGGAAGAGAAAGTCTGCATGGTATTTACGACCGGTCATAAAACTGGCCCCCAGGAAAGGGTGTGTTCAAACCTTTGCCTAGCCGGCATCTTTGATCCTCAACCCATGAGGGTAAGTCATGACAGTTGACATAGTTGTAATCCAAACCCAACCTTAATTTACTCATTGTGACGCATTCAGATTCCAAACTCCGTTTTAGACGAGCCTGACTTTATGACCAAAATTATCCTATTTACACACTGTAGTCGATTTTGACACTAGAATAGCCTAAATAAGTTCAGGAGCATTAATGTGCTAGTATTTAACATGATTTTTGAAGACTACCTCATCTCTGTACCCCACACATACAATTATCTGTAAGGTCCCTCAGTCAAGTAGTGAAATTCAAACACAGATTCAACCACAAAGATCAGGGAGGTTTTTCCAATGCCTCACAAAGAAGGGCACCTATTGGTAGATGGGTAAATAAATATATATAACAGACATTGAATATCCCTTTGATCATGGTGAAGTTATTAATTTCACTTTCGATGGTGTATCAATACACCCAGTCACTACAAAGATACAGTTTACTCTCTCAATGGCCGGAGAGGAAAGAAACTGCTCGGGGATTTCACCATGAGGCCAATAGTGACATTAAAACAGTTACAGAGTATAATGGCTGTGATAGGAAAAAACTGAGGATGAATCAACAACATTGTAGTTACTCGCGACTAGTTCTTAGGAAACTTTGCGGTATTTTGTTTTTTATGTATTATTTTTTACGTTATTACCTCAGAAAGTGTTTTGTATCATTACATACAGCCGGGAAAAACTATTGGATATCAGAGCGGCGGTAACTCACCAGCATTACGACCAGGAATACGACTTTCCCGAAGCAGATCCTTTGTTTGCTCTCCCCAGGGCAATTGAACTGATTCCAGCGGCTGACCCAAAACATCGCCGGCGGAGGAGAGGCACTCGGAGCGGCCTGCTGGTTCGACTTAGGAGGCACGCACACCACCCACCGCTTCCAAGTAAAACCAGCCACGTCGCCGACACTGACGTCTCGCTTCCAGACAAGCTAAACACCTTCTTCGCCCTTTGAGGATAACACAGTCCCGCCGACGAGCCCCACTACCAAGGACTGTGGCCTCTCCTTCTCCGTGGCCGACATGAGTAAGACATTTAAGCATGTTAACCCCTGCAAGGCTGCCGGCCCAGACCGCATCCCTAGCCGCGTCCTCAGAGCATGCGCAGATGAGCTGGCTGGTGTGTTTACGGACATATTCAATCTTTCCCTTTCCCGGTCTGCTGTCCCAACATGCTTCAAGATGGCCACCATTGTTCCTGTACCCAAGAAAGCTAAATGACTATCGCCCCGTGGCACTCACCTCTGTCATCATGAAGTGCTTTGAGAGACTAGTCAAGGATCATATCACCTCCACCTTACCTGTCACCGTAGACCCACTTCAATTTGCTTACCGCCCCAATAGGTCCACAGACGATGCAATCGCCATCACACTGCACACTGCCCTATCCCATCTGGACAAGAGGAATACCTATGTCCGAATGCTGTTCATTGACTATAGCTCAGCATTCAACACCATTGTGCCCTCCAAGCTCATCATTAAGCTCGAGGCCCTGGGTCTGAACCCCGCCCTGTGCAACTGGGTCCTGGACTTCCTGACGGGCCGCCCCCAGGTGGTGAAGGTAGGAAACAACATCTCAATTTTGCTGATCCTCAACACTGGGGCCCCACAAGGGTGCGTGCTCAGCCCCTTCCTGTACTCCCTGTTCACCCATGACTGCGTGGCCAAGCACACCTCCAACTCAATCATCAAGTTTGCAGACAACACAACAGTAGTAGGCTTGATTACCAACAATGACGAGACCGCCTACAGGGAGGAGGTGAGGGTTCTGTGATTGTGGTGCCAGGAAAATAACCATCCACAAACTTTTACAGATGCACAATTGAGAGCATTCTGTCGGGCTGTATCACCGCCTGGTACGGCAACTGCATCTCCCGCAACTGCAGGGCTCTCCAGAGGGTGGTGCGGTCTGCCAAACGCATTACTGGGGGCAAACTACCCGCCCTCCAGAACACCTACAGCACCCGATGTCACAGGAAGGCCAAAAAGATCATAAAGGACATCAACCACACGAGCCACTGCCTGTTCACCCCGCTAGGTCAGTACAGGTGCATCAAAGCTGGGACCGAGAGAATGAAAAACAGCTTCTATCTCAAGGCCATCAGACTGTTAAATAGCCATCACTAGCACATTAGAGGCTGCTTCTGCCTATTGAAATCACTGGCCACTTTAAGAAATGGAACACTAGTCACTTTAATAATATTTACATATCTTACACTACTCATCTCATATGTATATACTGTATTCTATAATATTCTACTGTATCTTAGTCCATGCCACTCTGTCATTGTGTCACGCCCTGGCTCTGGGGACACTGTTATGTTGAGCCAGGGTGTGTAATTCTATGTATTCTATTGCTATGTTGGGAGTTCTAGTTGGTATTTCTATGTTGGCCTGAGTGACTCCCAATCAGAGGCAACGAGTGTCAGCTGGTTGTCTCTGATTGGGAGCCATATTTAAACTGTCTGTCTTTCCCTTTGTGTTTGTGGTTTCTTGTTCTTATTTGGTTTGTGTTCAACCGTAGACATCACGTTATCGTCTGTTGTTTTGATCGTGTGATCATTCTCGAAATAAATATGTTTACCTTCAACGCTGCGCATTGGTCCTCCTCCTTAGACGATCGTGACACATTGCTTGTCCATATGTATATATTTTTTAATTCCATTCCTTACTTAGATTTATGTATATTGGTTATATGTTGTGAAATTGTTAGATATTACTTGTTAGATATTACTGCACTGTCGGAGCTAGAAGCACAAACATTTCACTACATCCACAATAACATCTGCTAAACACGTGTATGTGACAAATACAATTTGATTTGATTTGATTTGACAATACTGACCTAATTGAAAGAGTGAAAAGAAGGAAAACTGTACAGTATACAAATGTCTAAAACATGCATCCTGTTTGCAACCAGGCACTAAAGTATTACTGCAAATAATTTGGCAAAGCAATTAACTTTTTGACCTGAATACAAAGTGTTATGTTTGGGGCAAATTCAATACAACACATCACTAATGACCACTCTCCATATTTTCAAGACTAGTTGTGGCTGCATCATGTTATGGGTATGCTTGTAATAGTTAAGGACTGGGCAGTTTTTCAGGATCAAAACGAAACGGAATGGCACAGGCAAAATCCTAGAGGAAAACCTGGTTCAGTCTGCTTTCCACCAGACACTGGGAGATGAATTCACCTTTCAGCAGGACAATAACCTAAAACACATGGCCAAATCTACACTGGAGTTGCTTACCAAGAAGACAGTAAATGTTCCTGAGTGGCCGAGTTACAGTTTTGAGTTAAACCTGCTTGAAAAACATTTAGTCTACCAATGATCTACAACCAATTTTACAGAACTTGAAGAATTTTGAAACGAATAATGGGCAAATGTTGCACAATCTAGGTGCGAAAAGCTCTTAGAGACTTACCCAGAAAGACTCACAGCTGTGATCGCTGCCAAAAGTTCTTCTGGGTCTTTCTATAAACTAGGGTACCAGTGAGGATTCTATAAACTAGGGTACCAGTGAGGATTCTATAAACTAGGGTACCAGTGAGAATTCTATAAACTAGGGTACCAGTGAGGATTCTATAAACTAGGGTACCAGTGAGGATCCTATAAACTAGGGTACCAGTGAGGATTCTATAAACTAGGGTACCCGTGAGGATTCTATAAACTAGGGTACCAGTGAGGATTCTATAAACTAGGGTACCAGTGAGGATTCTATAAACTAGGGTACCAGTGAGGATTCTATAAACTAGGGTACCAGTGAGGATTTCCTACACTGGACAACTTGTTACAGCTGTTGATAAGCCATTGATAATAATCAGCCAATTTTTGTCATGTCATTACATCAAGTTATAAGGGGGGATCATGGCTATATTCAATCAAATTCACAAGTTGATTTAAAACCCTTGTTTAAAACCCTTTCTCATGGTTGGTGCATTGAAGGATTTGTCCATAATCATGTAACATAAAACATTACTTTTCTGTGCTTGTATTTATGGCAGTGTAAGTTGTCGTTATATCCAGGGGCGCAACTTTGGTTTTAGAAGTGGGGGGGGGGGGACATTATTTAATTGAAATACATTTTTTCTGTCAGGTAAACACTCCAAACAGCCTACCGGACCTCTCGGAGGCGTGCGCATGGTCCTAAAGCACACCGTCACCCCATTTTGTATCACATTCCAGTGATAAAACTGGGGGTGACTAAAATGCAATTTCAGAATGTGGGGGGGGGGGGGTTGGGGGGGGGGCATGCCCCCCCTGTCCCCAGTGAAAGTTGTGCCCCTGGTTATATCATATATTAAGCATGAATCTGTTAAATTAGACATTGAACTTGACATTTTTTTTGCATAGAGATCGCAGAAATGCAGTGTAACTACGTAACATTTAGTGTCTCCTTATTTTACAGGGTGAGAACAGTTTTCATGGGCACACAAATCCTAAATAATGTATGCATTACAAAATCGAATGCCTCTAACCCGAAAGAGTCACCTTACCTCGATACTTAAAACCTAAATTGATGCTGTCATTGACGTGGTTCTTCAATAATTACGCATAATACTTGTTGGATGCCCATTTGGTGTCGAGCTGTTTAATTACACTGTGATAGTTTCACACATCATCATCTGATCCAGGAAGGAATTTTCTGAATGACAGTCAAGTGAAGAACAGCTGTTGTGATAGCGCACGCGAGGCAACAACAGCCCAAGTGCTGGAAAAAAGGTGTTCGCAAGGAATGTTCAGAATATTTTGTTGTCTCATTCATTACGCCGTTAAAGACAGTTCAAATCAAATCAAATCAAATTGTATTTGTCTTATGCGCCGAATAAAACAGGTGTAGACATTACCTTGAAATGCTTACTTACAAGCCCTTCACCAACAATGCAGAGTTTTAAAAAAGTAACAAAAAAACGTAGCTAAATAAACTAAAGGAAAAATTGTAACACAATAAAAGAACAATAACGAGGCTATATAAAAGGAGTACCGATACCGAGTCCATGTGCAGGGGTACGGGTTATTCGAGGTAATTGAGGTAATATGTACATGTAGGTAGGGGTTAAAGTGACTATGCATAGATAATAAACAGAGAGTAGCAGCAGAGTATGTGACTAGTGTGATGGAATGTGATTGTGTGTATATGTGTGTGTGTGTGTGTGTGTGTGTGTGTGTGTGTGTGTGTGTGTTTGTGTGTTTGTGTGTGTGTGTGTGTGTGTGGGTGTGTGTGTGTGTGTGTGTGTGTTTGTGTCACATGTGTGTGTGTGTTTTGTGTGGGTGTGTGTGTGTGTGTGTTGTGTGTGTGTGTGTGTGTGGGTGTGTGTGTGTGTGTGTTTGTGTCAATATCAATGTGTGTGTGTGTGTTTTGTGTGTGTGTCCGTGTGTGTGTGTGTGGTGTGTGTGTGTGTGTGTGTTGGAGTGTCAGTATAGTATGTGGGAGCATGTGGTTAGAGTCCAGTGAGTGTACATCGAGCCTGTGGAAGAGAGTCAGTATAGTATGTGGTTAGAGTCCAGTGAGTGTACATCGAGCCTTTGCAAAATAATAATAAAATAAGGGGGTCAATGCAAAACGTCCTGGTAGCCATTTGATTAGCATAACATACCACCTTACATCACAGCTGGCTTGCCTCTGAAGCCCACTGCTGGCTGGCCTATGAAGCCCACTGCTGGATGGTCTCTGAAGCCCACTGCTGGCTGGTCTCTGAAGCCCACTGCTGGCTTGCCTCTGAAGCCCACTGATGTCTGGCCTATGAAGCCCACTGCTGGATGGTCTCTGAAGCCCACTGCTGGCTGGCCTATGAAGCCCACTGCTGGATGGTCTCTGAAGCCCACTGCTGGATGGTCTCTGAAGCCCACTGCTGGATGGCCTCTGAAGCCCACTGCTGGCTGGCCTCTGAAGCCCACTGCTGGATGGTCTCTGAAGCCCACTGCTGGATGGTCTCTGAAGCCCACTGCTGGATGGTCTCTGAAGCCCACTGCTGGATGGTCTCTGAAGCCCACTGCTGGCTGGTCTCTGAAGCCCACTGCTGGCTTGCCTCTGAAGCTAATCAGGATTGGTCCTGGTCGGTCCCTGGATGGGAGACCAGACGCTGCTGGAAGTGGTTTTGGAGGGCCAGTAGGAGGCACTCTTTTCCTCTGCTCTAAAAACAATATCCCAATGCCCCAGGGCAGTGATTGGGGACATTGCCCTGTGTTGGGTGCTGTCTTTCAGACAGGATGTTAAAAGGCTGTCCTGACTCTTATTGTAAGAGTAGGGCTGTTAACCCCAGTTCTCTGGCCCTCATACCATCATGGCCACCTAATCATCCCCAGCTTCCAAATGGCTCATTCATCTCGCCTCCTCTCCCCTGTAACTATTTCCCAGGTCGTTGTTGAGAATGCTCCCGGTATAAGCTGATAAGGAGCCTTTTGGTCCCAGACCTGGCGCTCCGGTACCACTTGCCATGTGGTAGCAGAGAGAACAGTCCAAGACTTGGGTGGCTGGAGTCCTTGCCAATTTTTAGGGCTTTCCTCTGACACCGCCTGCTATAGAGGTCCTGGATGGCAGGAAGCTCGGCCCCAGTAATGTACTGGGCCGTACGCACTACCCAGTTTGCCTGGATCCACGTTGGATCTAATAATTGATGTTGATCATCATGATGTTCATTTTCTGCTTGATTTACAGCAGGGTCTCGTTAGATTTAGCATAGAAAGCATCAAGGTAGTTTTCATATGTTTTTGTGCTTTGGATTGGACACCAAGTCTACTGTGCACAATTGTGCAGGATAGACTGTTGCTCAAGACCCAACACAATTCCTGTTAATTATTCAGGATGTAATGACAACAAATTACATATCCTAGTGGGCTTATTCACAATATAATTTAATTTAAAATTTTTTGTCATTTAGCAGACGCTCTTATCCAGAGCGACTTACAGGAGCAATTAGGGTTAAGTGCCTTGCTCAAGGGCACATCGACAGATTTGTCATTTAGTCGTCTCGGGGATTAGAACTAGCGACCTTTCGGTTTCTGGCACAACGCTCTTAACCACTAAGCTACCTGCCGCCTCTAATATGCTATGGTAATGAAACAGCATGACAAATACATGTTGTTTTCCTTGGTAGAACTTTTTAAACAATGCAATTTGGTACTTGAAAAGTTATTGTAATTATTGTAGCCAATTTATAAGTTCTCCTACTCCCATATAATTGTCTGTGATTTCATGTTTGATCAATTTTTGTGCCACTTTCGTTTGTTTCCCGACGCTTCAATTGAATGGTGTTGCGCTACTCTGTTGTGGTAAAACCACATGTGGTTATTATGAGGATGACAACATCTAATGTTGGCTTCAACTTAGTTTTCAATACAAATCATTCCATTAAAAAAGGAACCTGTTTTTTGGTCACTTTGTCATTATAAAACAGCGATGGTGAGATTCAAATGGTGTGATTAATGCTACAGCTATTCATGGCTTTATTATGTGTTCCAGTGTCGGCCACATAGGCTAACGAAAAATCGCCACGCGTGCATTCAATCTATTTAGTTAGGCAATGTTTACATTATTCTCACATATTTTAGAATGTAATAATAATCTGAATATCAAACAGTGAAAATTACAATTAAGTGCTTGAAAAAGTCCCTGAAAGTCCTTGAATTTGACTTACAAATGTCTGTATGAATCCTGCTTAAAGGATGTATAGTCCTAGACCTATGTTGTTGTATAGGTGGAGTCATGGGACAATTAGCATATATTCACTTTTATTACTTTAATTTTATCTAAATGCATGAAAAGCCTTTTTATTTTAGTTTCAAATCATTTTGAAATGTTTATCGTCACACATTGGCACCATTATTTATAGAAAGACCCTACTACAAAGTATTGACTGAGGGGTGTGAATACCTATGTAAAGTAGATATTTCTGTATTTTATTTTCAAGACATTTGCAAACATTTCTAAAAACATGTTGTCACTTTGTCATCATGGGGTATTGTGTGTACATGGGTGAGAGAAAAACATATGTTTAACCTCTAAGGGATTGGTGTCCCGTATACGGGACGGTTGAGCTAACATGTGCTAATGTGATTAGCATGACTGTTGTAAGTAACAGCAAACTTTCCAGGACATAGACATGTCTTATATGAGCAGAAAGCTTAACTTCTTGTTAATCGAATTACAGTAGCTATTACAGTGAATAAATTCCATGCTATTGTTTGAGAAGACTGCACAACAACAAAAAACGTATCACAGCAACTGGTTTGATACATTCACCTCTGAAGGTAAATAATGTACTTACATTCAGTAATCTTGTTCTGACACATTTGGGTAGACTTGATACAAAATAGTCCAGTATTGCAATGCTTCACTGAATCAATCTGAAACTTTGCACACACTGCTGCCATCTAGTGGCCAAAATCTAAATTGCGCCTAAACTGCAATATTATATTGTGGCCTTTCTCTTGCATTTCAAAGATGATGGTACAAAAAGGAAAATAGAAAACGCATGTTTTTTTGTTTGTATTATCTTTTACCAGATCCAATGTGTTATATTCTCCTACGTTAATGCACATTTCCACAAATTTCAAAGTGTTTCCTTTCAAAATGGTATCAATAATATGCATATCCTTGCTTCAGGTCCTGAGCTACAGGCAGTTAGATTTGGGTATGTCATTTTAGGCAAAAATTGAAAAAAAGGGTCCGATCCTTAAGAGGTTAATCCATTTTGAATTCAGACTGTAACAACAAAATGTGGAATAAGTCAAGGGGTCTGAATACTTTCTGAATGATGAAAGTTAGAGGTAGCCTACATTTTTATTATTTAATATATAGAAAATTATGACTATTATGTGACTAAAATATCTGTGACTACAGTTTTTTTTTCTGATTGCTAACAAGCATTGTTCAATACTGCGGATACATGTGCAAAACTCTAAGTACAGTTATCACAACAACACTCTATATGGCAACCTGTGGATCATTTGTCATTGCTTTGACATAAAATTGATTAAATGACAACATCTTTCAAATTACAGAAATAGTTGTCTCACAAAAACACATTTACCAACAAAATTCTATGTATCTACAGACCATTTTGCAAACGTTAAGATACCCTTATCAAAACTGTTAAACTCAAGTTCAAAAGCTACTGAAAATTGAATTAGACTGCAATAAAATAATAATAATATCTCTTAATTATTCACAGCTGATTTTCATTCTACATTACGTAACTGAAGACCAACCCAGGTGTTTTCCATTTCTAGGTCATTACCATCTCTACAAAAGGGGACATCTTTTGGAATATGTTTTGCATAAACATGGACCCAGCCAGAGATCGTGTAGTGTCTTACAGAGGTGGAACAGTTGCCATAGAGGCAGAGGATTATGTATCCGTGTTGGGAGACGACTGAGGGGAAGACCCAGAGTTGTAGTGTCAGATGAGACTAGGGCTACAATCATCGATCATGTTGTCAATCGTGGTCTATCAATGAGAGATGCTGGTCCTAGAGTGCAGCCAAATTTGCAACGATCAACTGTGTCATCTATTATAAGAACCTTCCGGCAAACTAACAGGTAAGATATGCATTCTGCATGGGCATCTAACTGTACTGAATATTACTGTAGAGTAGTAAATCGAGCAAAAAGCTCCCCAAACTACTTGTGTGTCATTTTATTTCCGTTTTAGTATCCAACGGTTACCAAATGGAGGGGGGAGAGGTAGGATTTTGCCTGCTCAGCAGGAAGCTGTAGTTGTTGACATGGTCATTAGCAACAATGCCGTAAAACTCAGAGAAATTCAAGAGAGAGTGTTGGCAGACAATAATGCATTTCAAAATGTTGAAAGTGTAAGCATGACAACCACCAGAGCACTGCACACTCAGCAGTGATTTCAGTTACAGTATACTGTAATATAAACTACTGTTGTAGAATAACTGTTATGTTGCCCTGTGGATTTACAATATTTTAGAGTGTCATTGAACTTGAGGCCAGGACAACACCCCACATGTTCGTCTCTGTGGATGAGGCTGGCTTTAACATGGCCAAAACACGCCGACGTGGAAGGAATGTGATTGGGGAAAAGAGCAACAGTGAATGTCCCGGGCCAGAGGGGTGCCAACATCACAACGTGTGCCGCAATATCCTCTGAAGAATTGCTGTTACATAAACCACTAATTGGGCCATACGACACAGAGCACTTCATTTCATTCATGGATGACCTCTATGGAAGGCTTTTGCCAGGTGAAGAAAGAGGGCAAGTCAGAAGAAATATGGAAACCTGGGTGATTGAATTGGACAATGTGGCATTTCACCACTCCCATGCAGTCATAGAGTGGTTTGCAGCCCATCCTGGGATGGATCACTCCCCCCCCCCCCCCCTTACTCTCCCTTCCTCAACCCAATAGAATAATTATTTTCCTCATGGAGGTGGAAAGCTTATGACCACCATCCACATGATCAAATGTCACTCTTGGATGCAATGAATGCAGGATGCCTGGGATATCTCTGCAGAAGATTGCCAGGGATGGATCAGGCATGCAAAGAGGTTCTTTCCCAGGTGTATTGCGCGAGAGGCCATACGGTGTGATGTGGATGAGAACTTGTGGCCCAAAAGCAGCAGACAGGTTTGACTAGCACTGTTATAGATCTGTTTCATTTGGACAATATGCTATGCATATTCATAGTGTGTATACACTTTTTGTTTGTTTAACAGTACTGGAATTATTTATTTTTGTGTATTTTGGAATTACTCTGCGAAAAGCAAAATACAGTAATTTGCAAAAATACAGTAAATTGTATTGAAGCATATTGCAGCCTTTCTGCTTAATTTCTTTACATATCTTGCAGGACATTCTATACAGTACAGGTTTGCCATTCTTCTTTTGTAGAAATGACTGTTGGTTCATCTAAAGAAATATGATATTAAAGACAAATTAACACAATTTCAAGTGGTAGCTGTTTTTAGAGTTTTGTAGGTCATGATACTATGAATGACAAAGTGTGCATGTCGTGAGAGACTGTTAGCTTTCATTTGGTAGAAATATTTGATTTTGAGACATGTAGGATGTGCATTGCCAAGTTGCATGTTGTTTTGATAACTGTATTTAGAGTTTTGCACATGTATCCAGAGTATTGAACAAAGCTTGTTAGCAATCAAAAAAAACCCTGTAAAACTAGACTTAAATGTTACAGTTTTAGTTTACTGATAATAACAAAAATTAACAATTGATGCAATGACTAAAATGTGACTAAGACCAAAAGGTATTTTAAGACTAAAACTAAATCTAAAATAGCTGCCAAAATTAACACTGGTATGTTGTTGAGAAATCCTGGAACTAGACTAAACCTCCAGGGGACAATGACAGAACGTCCTTAAAGCATCATTGGGGATGTCCCCGGGAACGAGACAAAACCTCCAGGGGACCATGACAGAACATCCTTAAAACATCCTTGGGGATGTCCCCGGGAACGAGACAAAACCTCCAGGGGACCATGACACAATGCTTTGATAACTTTAGGCAACCATTTCGTGACTTCCTAATGACTAAGCTAACATATGGAATTGTTTTAAGGTGGTCATACCATGGATCATTTAGCTATTTGATTTGGAATTTTAGGACCCCTTCAGGTATAAAATAAATAAAATATAGAATTTGGCCTTTTTTGTTGGCACAAAACTAGCTGCATACTTCCGTTTATTTGTACGTGTCACCTTCAGACGAGTCCCGTGACACTTGGTCATATTAGTTTGTAGGCCAAACCATTCGGACGCTACAGACGTTTTAACGAGAAGACAGGTTTTCGGGACACCTCATGGTCTGACAAACACCGCTGTAGCTCGGCCACTTTCCACCGCAGATGCTGAAGGCCGACACTGACGGATGATGATTGAGACGCAGCCCATGCTGATGTGGTGGATTGAGACGCAGCCCATGCAAAAAAAAACGACCTCTAGCTTAAATGTTTTATTATGTTACTTAAATTGTCAATAGACTCTTATTAATGTAATAAGTTATTACACTTAGAGGAAAAAGTTTTTACATTTACCGCTCAACATTTTATTACGTTTACCGGCAAGTTATTACATTTACCGGTTTTATTACATTTACCATTGTTACATACCCTAATACTGTTAAAGTAGGGTTACTCCATTAATGTACTTGGTAATGAAAATGTGTTTTTTTCATGTAAGACATCATCCCATTCCAGTCATTTAAACACTAATGGGGAGGTTTTCCCGGACACAGATTAAGCCTACTCCTGGACTTAAGTTCTTTGTATGAATTTCCCTTCTTATTCGGCTTCAGACAAACGCTAACATTTCCCTTAAAAACATAGTTAAAAAATAAACATTTGGTATCCGTTCCCCCTCACCTCGCCATTATGGGCCGGTTTCCCGGACACAGATTAAGGCTAGTCCTAGACTAAAAACCCTGTTCAATTAAGATTGTTTATTGACAGTACTTAGTCTAGGTCAAGGCTTAATCTACATCCAGGAAACCGGCCTGATGTGTTTTACTCACAAAAAGTTTGTTTTCCAAAAGTTTGAATACAGAAATCTCTCAAAAGCGTTGGCCCACTAACCCTAATGTTTGAGTGGCATCAACACCATGTAGCTATATATATATGGTAGTAGAATAGGCAGGTACAGTTGAAGTCGGAAGTTTACATACACTCAGGTTGGAGTCATTAAAACTCATTTTTCAACCACTCCACAAATGTCTTGTTAACAAACTATAGTTTTGGCAAGTCGGTTAGGAGATCTACTTTGTGCACGACACAAGTAATCTTTCCAACAATTGTTTACAGACAGATTATTTCACTCATAATTAACTGTATCACAATTCCCGTGGGTCAGAAGTTTACATGCACTAAGTTGACTATGCCTTTAAACAGATTGGAACATTCCAGAAAATGATATCATGGCTTTAGAAGCTTCCGATAGGCTAATTGACATCATTTGAATCAATTGGAGGAGTACCCGTGGATGTATTTCAAGGCCTACCTTCAAACTCAGTGCCTCGTCAGAAATGTCTCAAAAGCGTTGGATTAGTCAGCCTCACCAACCCTAATGTTTAAGTGGCATTAACACCATGTAGCTATATATATATATATATATATATATATACAGTGGGGAAAAAAAGTTTTTAGTCAGCCACCAATTGTGCAAGTTCTCCCACTTAAAAAGATGAGAGAGGCCTGTAATTTCCATCATAGGTACACGTCAGCTATGACAGACAAAATGAGGAAAAAAAATCCAGAAAATCACATTGTAGGATTTTTTGTGAATTTATTTGCAAATTATGGTGGAAAATAAGTATTTGGTCAATAACAAAAGTTTCTCAATACTTTGTTATATACCCTTTGTTGGCAATGACACAGGTCAATCGTTTTCTCTAAGTCTTCACAAGGTTTTCACACACTGTTGCTGGTATTTTGGCCCTTCCTCCATGCAGACTTTCAACTGCCTCCAAAGATTTTCTATGGGGTTGAGATCTGGAGACCTTGAAATGCTTCTTACGAAGCCACTCCTTCGTTGCCCGGGCGGTGTGTTTGGGATCATTGTCATGCTGAAAGACCCAGCCACGTTTCATCTTCGATGCCCTTGTTGATGGAAGGAGGTTTTCACTCAAAATCTCACGATACATGGCCCCATTCATTCTTTCCTTTACACGGATCAGTCGTCCTGGTCCCTTTGCAGAAAAACAGCCCCAAAGCATGATGTTTCCACCCCCATGCTTCACAATAGGTATGGTGTTCTTTGGATGCAACTCAGCATTCTTTGTCCTACAAACACGACGAGTTGAGTTTTTACCAAAAAGTTCTATTTTGGTTTCATCTGACCATATGACATTCTCCCAATCCTCTTCTGGATTATCCAAATGCACTCTAGCAAACTTCAGACGGGCCTGGACATGTACTGGCTTAAGCAGGGGGACACATCTGGCACTGCAGGATTTGAGTCCCTGGCGGCGTAGTGTGTTACTGATGGTAGGCTTTGTTACTTTGGTCCCAGCTCTCTGCAGGTCATTCACTAGGTCCCCCCGTGTGGTTCTGGGATTTTTGCTCACCGTTCTTGTGATCATTTTGACCCCACGGGGTGAGATCTTGCGTGGAGCCCCAGATCGAGGGAGATTATCAGTGGTCTTGTATGTCTTCCATTTCCTAATAATTGCTCCCACAGTTGATTTCTTCAAACCAAGCTGCTTACCTATTGCAGATTCAGTCTTCCCAGCCTGGTGCAGGTCTACAATTTTGTTTCTGGTGTCCTTTGACAGCTCTTTGGTCTTGGCCATAGTGGAGTTTGGAGTGTGACTGTTTGAGGTTGTGGACAGGTGTCTTTTATACTGATAACAAGTTCAAACAGGTGCCATTAATACAGGTAACGAGTGGAGGACAGAGGAGCCTCTTAAAGAAGAAGTTACAGGTCTGTGAGAGCCAGAAATCTTGCTTGTTTGTAGGTGACCAAATACTTATTTTCCACCATAATTTGCAAATAAATTCATTAAAAATTCTTCAATGTGATTTTTTTGATTTTTTTTTCTCAATTTGTCTGTCATAGTTGACATGTACCTATGAAGAAAATTACAGGCCTCTCTCATCTTTTTAAGTGGGAGAACTTGCAAAATTGGTGGCTGATTAAATACTTTTTTCCCCCACTGTATATATATATATGGTAGTAGAATAGGCAGGTACATCGCTGAAGACCTCAGTAAGAGGAGTTGTTGCCGCTGTAGTCTAATGGGGATCCAAATAAACAAATCAAATACTTTTAAGTGTCTGTATCCACACCGTAGTTACACTGCACCTGCTGCTGTATGGCAATACTCGGTCATATCACATAAAGGGGGACCTCTTAGTTATGGTGATGTAGAAATGCAGCTGGTATGATGCATTTCTTATCATGTGATGCTTCGCTTTGCATCATACCGGCTGTATTTATGTATTTTGAAAGTTATACATCTTGAAAACTTTGATTGCTGACATGCAAAACATTTTGGGATTATATCAACAATGGACTAATGTAAGAAATGTGTGTGTGTGTGTGTGTGTGTGTGTGTGTGTGTGTGTGTGTGTGTGTGTGTGTGTGTGTGTGTGTGTGTGTGTGTGTGTGTGTGTGTGTGTGTGTGTGTGTGTGTGTGCTCCAGGGAACAGGGAAGGTAGAGTACAGTAGGTCATTCCTCCCTTACAGCTGCCCTGCCTGTTGGGTTTTGTTCTGTCCTAACTGTACTGTCCCCTGCCCTTTTTCCCAACACTACACCCGACTGTGACCTGGCCCCTAGTCATGCTTCTGACAAATGGAATGGTCGTATCATAAAAAAGAATGGTCATGCAATCATATGGAATGCTCACGCAATAAAATGAAATGGTCATGAGACCAAACGGAATTGTCCTAAGATCAAACGGAATGGTCATAAGATCAAACGGAATGGTCATAAGATCAAATGGAATGGTCATGCGATGAAAAGGGATTGGCCGTAAGATCAAATGGAATGGTCAAAAGATCATATTGGATAAAATGGAATGGCCAAATGAGGAAATGGAACGGTCATGCAATGAAATATTGATGCCATACAATAACAAGGAATGTGCATACATTGTATTGACCCCTTCAGATTGTTGATATCCTTTAGCTAATTATCCCCTTTTCACTTAATGTAGGAGTAAATCACAGCATTGGAAGCAGCGGAATATTTTCTTGAAAATGATGATAACGCACCGCTCTGTGCACCTCTCCCAATCAGAACAATTTGAACATAGCAAACAGCATAGCAATGAATGCTATCTATTTTTTCTTTTCATTTAGGCAAGTGGACACCAGAGCATACGAGTGGAGTGGAGCTGGATTGTAGCGACCAGTGGAGGGCACATCATTTGTCTGGAACACAGAGGGGATAATATTTTTCATCTTCAATTTCGCTCCAGTGTCTTCTGCTCTGCATTTCTCATTTCCTTTATCAATATTATTTTAATTAATTATTTTTATGTTGTGTTTATCTAACCCACAACTAGTAATGCACAGAGATGTTGATATGACTCCACCAATAAATAGGTCACTGACAGCCTGTGTAATTGACAGCCTGTGTAATTGACAGCCTGTGTAATTGACAGCCTGTGTAATTGACAGCCTTTGTAATTGACAGCCTGTGTAATTGACAGCCTGTGTAATTGACAGCCTGTGTAATTGACAGCCTGTGTAATTGACAGCCTGTGTAATTGCAAGATGCAAGATTGCATTTGCACGTGATGAAGCACTGGAGATGCTTTGATTTCAACACGGCTATTGTTTAAAAAAAAAAAGTCAACTGTGAAAATGGTTACTTCTTAAGCTACCTGGCTGGGCTTTCCTCTTGACTGATGTAGAGTTAGCAGGGGGGTTGTTTTAATAGCCTTTTTCCTCCTGTTAAGCTTGTTCCTCCTGACTGATGTAGAGTTAGCATGTTGTTTAATAGCCTTGTTCCTCCTGACTGATGTAGAGTTAGCATGTTGTTTAATAGCCTTGTTCCTCTTGACTGATGTAGAGTTAGCATGTTGTTTAATAGCCTTGTTCCTCTTGACTGATGTAGAGTTAGCATGTTGTTTAATAGCCTTGTTCCTCCTGACTGATGTAGAGTTAGCATGTTGTTTAATAGCCTTGTTCCTCCTGACTGATGTAGAGTTAGCATGTTGTTTAATAGCCTTGTTCCTCTTGACTGATGTAGAGTTAGCATGTTGTTTAATAGCCTTGTTCCTCCTGACTGATGTAGAGTTAGCATGTTGTTTAATAGCCTTGTTCCTCCTGACTGATGTAGAGTTAGCATGTTGTTTAATAGCCGTGTTCCTCCTGACTGATGTAGAGTTAGCATGTTGTTTAATAGCCGTGTTCCTCCTGACTGATGTAGAGTTAGCATGTTGTTTAATAGCCATGTTCCTCCTGACTGATGTAGAGTTAGCATGTTGTCTAATAGCCGTGTTCCTCCTGACTGATGTAGAGTTAGCATGTTGTTTAATAGCCTTGTTCCTCTTGACTGATGTAGAGTTAGCATGTTGTTTAATAGCCGTGTTCCTCCTGACTGATGTAGAGTTAGCATGTTGTTTAATAGCCTATAACAGGGGTTCTCCAACCTCTCCTCAGGGATGCCGTTTCTATTTGAACTATTCCACCGCTACCTGATTCAACTTGTCAACTAATCATCAAGCCCTTGACTAGGTGGATCAGGTGAGCTTGTTCAGGGCTACAACAACATTGTGAAACGTCTGGGGGGTCCCCGAGGAGACGTTTGAGAACCACTGGCCTGTACATGTTGTTGAAAATGTTGAGTGCTTCTGGCTTTGCCTACTTCAAAACCAAATTGTACAGTCACAAAAGTATATGGGGCTGTTGTTGTTTTTTTATTTTTTTATTTGGAGCTGCAGTTTTTTTCACCCCTGTGTCACTGAGTTCTTCAGTAAGGCCATTATACTGTCAATGCTTGTCTATGGAGATTACATGGCTGTGTACTCAATTTTATATACCTGTCAGCAATGTGTGTCGCTGAAATAGCCCAATCCATTAATTTGAAGGGATTGTCCAAATACTTTTTATATATAGTGTAAGCCATTGACTTTATTGTGTTGTACCTGTTCAGTTTTTAAAATGTATGTAGTGTGTATACATACAGTATATATTTTTTAAATTAGCAATCAATCAAATCTGCATGTTAACCATCCTTCTGCTCTGCTCTGCTCTGCCCTGCTCTGCTCTGCTCTGCTCTGCTCTGCCCTGCTCTGCTCTGCTCAGCTCTGCTCTGCTCTGCTCTGCTCTGCTCTGCTCTGCTCAGCTCTGCTCTGCTCTGCTCAGCTCTGTGTGAGTTGTGAAAGGCTGCAAGTCAATGACTGTGTCCGAAAAGGCAAAATTTTTCCCTTTACATTGCACTATTTTTGACCAGGGCACATAGTGCACAGCCGATTTGTTTTAAGACTGCTTAGTTTCTACTTTACCTGAGACGTGCTATCACAGACAACATAAGACTTCAATTAGGTACAGTGAAAATCAATAAACTCTAAAAACATATATATTTCAAAGAGTGAGATATTTTCTTGCAAGGTCTGTAAATGTTTCAGATTATTCTAGCAAGAATAACAGCAACGACAGTCTCAGCACTGCCAAGATGGCCTGAGGAACTTAACAAGATGTTAGAAATTCCACAAATTATTTCAAAGAGTAGATGAGGCTGTGATTAATATTCTGGAAGTCTGCATCCCAACTGGCACCCTATTCGCTATATACTGCACTACTTTTGACCAAGCCCCATAGGGCTCATGTCAAAAGTAGTACACTACAGATATATAGTGAATAGGGTGCCATTTGGGATGCAGGCTAAGAGTGTAAAGTCAATTTTTCAGTCGCTATTTAATGATGCCAAGAAGTTATCACAAATGTGTCAGGTACACAGTAGAGAGAGAGGAGACAGAGAGGAGACAGAGAGGAGACAGAGAGGAGACAGAGAGGAGCCAGATATGAGCCAGAGGGGAGACAGAGAGGAGACAGAGAGGAGCCAGAGAGGAGCCAGAGAGGAGACAGAGAGGAGCCAGAATATAGACAGAGAGGAGACAGAGAGGAGTCAGAATATAGACAGAGAGGAGACAGAGAGGAGACAGAGAGGAGACAAGGGGGAGCCAGAGAGGAGCCAGAGAGGAGCCAGAGAGGAGCCAGAGAGGAGACATAGAGGAGACATAGAGGAGACAGAGGAGAAGAGACAGGAATATAGACAAGAGAGGAGACAGAGAGGAGACGGGAGGAGACAGAGAGGAGACAAGGGGGAGCCAGAGAGGAAACAGATAAGAGACAGAATATAGACAGAGAGAGAAGAGACAGAATATAGACAGAGAGGAGACAGAGAGGGAGCCAGAGAGGAGGGCAGAGAGGGAGACAAGAGAGACAGCAATATAGACGAGAGGGGAGACAGAGAGGAGCCAGAGAGGAGCCAGATAAGAGACAGATATAGAAAGAATACAGAGAGGAACAGAGAGGGGACAGAGAGGAGGCAGAAGAGAGGAGACAGAGAGGAGACAGAGAGAAGAGACAGATTAGAGACAGAGAGGGAGACAGAGAGGAGCAGAGAGGAGGACGAGAGGAGACAGAATATAGACAAGAGAGGAGATAGAGAGGATCAGAGAGGAGCCAGAGAGAAAGGGCAGAGAGGAGGCAGAGAGGAGCCAGAGAGGGAGACAGAGAGGAGCAGAGAGGAGACAGAGAGGAGCAGGGGAGGGGATCAGAAAGAACAGGAGACAGCGAGGAGACAGAGATGAGGGCCCGAGAGAAGACTGAGAGGAGACAGGAGGAGACAGAGAGGAGTCAGAGAGGAGAGAGAGGAGGCAAGAGAGGGACAGAGAGGAGACAGAGAGGAGACAGAATATAGACAGAGAGGAGACAGAGAGGAGGCAGAGAGGAGACCAGAGAGGAGGCAGAGAGGATACAGAGAGGAGACAGAATATAGACAGACAGGAGACAGAGAGGAGACAGAGATGAGCCAGAGAGAAGACAGAGAGGAGCCAGAGAGGAGACAGAGAGGAGACAGAGGGGAGAGAGAGGAGGCAGAGAGGAGACAGAGAGGAGGACAGAGAGGAGGACAGGAATATAGACAGAGAGGAGACAGAGAGGAGAGAGAGGAGGCAGAGAGGAGACAGAGAGGAGACAGAGAGGGAGGACAGAATATAGACAGAGAGGAGATAGAGAGGAGACAGAGAGGAGCCAGAGAGGAGACAGAGAGGAGACAGAATATAGACAGAGAGGAGACAGAGAGGAGACAGAGAGGAGCCAGAGAGGAGCCAGAGAGGAGACAGAATATAGACAGAGAGGAGACAGAGAGAAGACAGAGAGGAGACAGAGAGGAGACAGAGAGGAGACAGAGAGGACACAGAGAGGACACAGAGAGGAGACAGAGAGGAGACAGAGAGGAGACAGAGGAGACAGAGAGAAGATAGAGAGGAGGCAGAGAGGAAACAGAGAGGAGAGAGAATATAGACAGAGAGGAGATAGAGAGGAGCCAGAGAGGAGCAAGAGAGAAGACAGAGAGGAGCCAGAGAGGAGCCAGAGAGGAGCCAGAGAGGAGGCAGAGAGGAGACAGAGAGGAGACAGAATATAGACAGACAGGAGACAGAGAGGAGACAGAGATGAGCCAGAGAGAAGACAGATAGGAGCCAGAGAGGAGACAGAGAGGAGACAGAGAGGAGAGAGAGGAGGCAGAGAGGAGACAGAGAGGAGACAGAGAGGAGACAGAATATAGACAGAGAGGAGACAGAGAGGAGCCAGAGAGGAGACAGAGAGGAGACAGAGAGGAGACAGAATATAGACAGAGAGGAGACAGAGAGAAGACAGAGAGGAGACAGAGAGGAGACAGAGAGGACACAGAGAGAACACAGAGAGGACACAGAGAGGAGACAGAGAGGAGACAGAGAGGAAGACAGAGGAGACAGAGAGAAGATAGAGAGGAGCCAGAGAGGAGACAGAGAGGAGACAGAGAGAGAGAGAGGAGGCAGAGAGGAGACAGAGAGGAGACAGAGAGGAGACAGAATATAGACAGAGAGGAGACAGAGAGGAGCCAGAGAGGAGCCAGAGAGGAGACAGAGAGGAGACAGAATATAGACAGAGAGGAGACAGAGAGAAGACAGAGAGGAGACAGAGAGGAGACAGAGAGGAGACAGAGGAGACAGAGAGAAGATAGAGAGGAGGCAGAGAGGAGGCAGGGAGGAGACAGAATATAGACAGAGAGGAGACAGAGAGAAGACAGAGAGGAGACAGAGAGGAGACAGAGAGGAGACAGAGAGGACACAGAGAGGACACAGAGAGGAGACAGAGAGGAGACAGAGAGGAGACAGAGGAGACAGAGAGAAGATAGAGAGGAGGCAGAGAGGAGACAGAGAGGAGAGAGAATATAGACAGAGAGGAGATAGAGAGGAGCCAGAGAGGAGCAAGAGAGAAGACAGAGAGGAGCCAGAGAGGAGCCAGAGAGGAGCCAGAGAGGAGGCAGAGAGGAGACAGAGAGGAGACAGAATATAGACAGACAGGAGACAGAGAGGAGACAGAGATGAGCCAGAGAGAAGACAGATAGGAGCCAGAGAGGAGACAGAGAGGAGACAGAGAGGAGAGAGAGGAGGCAGAGAGGAGACAGAGAGGAGACAGAGAGGAGACAGAATATAGACAGAGAGGAGACAGAGAGGAGCCAGAGAGGAGCCAGAGAGGAGACAGAGAGGAGACAGAATATAGACAGAGAGGAGACAGAGAGAAGACAGAGAGGAGACAGAGAGGAGACAGAGAGGACACAGAGAGAACACAGAGAGGACACAGAGAGGAGACAGAGAGGAGACAGAGAGGAGACAGAGGAGACAGAGAGAAGATAGAGAGGAGCCAGAGAGGAGACAGAGAGGAGACAGAGAGGAGAGAGAGGAGGCAGAGAGGAGACAGAGAGGAGACAGAGAGGAGACAGAATATAGACAGAGAGGAGACAGAGAGGAGCCAGAGAGGAGCCAGAGAGGAGACAGAGAGGAGACAGAATATAGACAGAGAGGAGACAGAGAGAAGACAGAGAGGAGACAGAGAGGAGACAGAGAGGAGACAGAGGAGACAGAGAGAAGATAGAGAGGAGGCAGAGAGGAGGCAGAGAGAAGACAGAGGATACAGAGAAGCCCCCAAGGCAGTAGCAGAGATTTTCATTACCTAGCTTTAAAATTAACAACTGACTATCTAATTGAATTCCCTGTTCTCCTCAAGATTTGAACAACAAGTACTTTTATTGGCTACATTGTTCCTACCTTGTGAGTATCCCAACCTAAAGAAAAGCCAATATATATAGCTGTGGAGTTGGCCTTCAGGGATGTAATTCTCTTCTCAGGCTGTCACATATATTTATATGGTAGATGGCCGAATTTAGCAGTGTAATCAGGGACGTTTTACAGCACCTTCCTGCCAAATTGACTATAAAAGTATGGTTATAATTAATAAACAATAGCCCCTGTGGATACCCTTCTTAGATAGGCTACCTGCTGTGGCCCTGAATAGTTGCTGCTGTAACAGCATCTATCTATCTATCTATCTATCTATCTATCTATCTATCTATCTATGCGAGCGAGGAGCGAGGAGCGAGCGACGAGCGAGCGAGCGAGAGAGCGAGCGAGCGAGGAGCGACTAGCGAGCGAGCGAGGAGCGAGCAGCGAGCGAGCGAGCGAGCGAGCGCAGCGAGCGAGGAGTAGGAGCAGCGAGCAGCGAGCGAGCGAGAGCGAGCGAGCGAGCGACGAGACGAGAGGAGCGAGCGACTAGCGGCGACGAGCTAGCGAGCGAGCGAGCGAGCTAGCTAGCTATCTATGCATCGAGCTATCGAGCGATCTAGCGTATCTATCTAGATCTATCATCGATCAGAGAGGAGACAGAATATAGACAGAGAGGAGACAGAGAGGAGACAGAGAGGAGCCAGAGAGGAGCCAGAGAGGAGCCAGAGAGGAGGCAGAGAGGAGACAGAATACAGACAGACAGGAGACAGAGAGGAGACAGAGATGAGCCAGAGAGAAGACAGAGAGGAGCCAGAGAGGAGACAGAGAGGAGACAGAAAGGAGAGAGAGGAGGCAGAGAGGAGACAGAGAGGAGCCAGAGAGGAGGCAGAATATAGACAGAGAGGAGACAGAGAGGAGCCAGAGAGGAGCCAGAGAGGAGGCAGAGAGGATACAGAGAGGAGACAGAATATAGACAGACAGGAGACAGAGAGGAGACAGAGATGAGCCAGAGAGAAGACAGAGAGGAGCCAGAGAGGAGACAGAGAGGAGACAGAGAGGAGAGAGAGGAGGCAGAGAGGAGACAGAGAGGAGACAGAGAGGAGACAGAATATAGACAGAGAGGAGACAGAGAGGAGAGAGAGGAGGCAGAGAGGAGACAGAGAGGAGACAGAGAGGAGACAGAATATGGACAGAGAGAGAGGAGGAGCCAGAGAGGAGACAGAGAGGAGACAGAATATAGACAGAGAGGAGACAGAGAGGAGACAGAGAGGAGCCAGAGAGGCCAGAGAGGAGACAGAATATAGACAGAGAGGAGAGAGAGAGGAGACAGAGAGGAGACAGAGAGGAGACAGAGAGGACACAGAGAGGACACAGAGAGGAGACAGAGAGGAGACAGAGAGGAGACAGAGGAGACAGAGAGAAGATAGAGAGGAGGCAGAGAGGAGACAGAGAGGAGAGAGAATATAGACAGAGAGGAGATAGAGAGGAGCCAGAGAGGAGCAAGAGAGAAGACAGAGAGGAGCCAGAGAGGAGCCAGAGAGGAGCCAGAGAGGAGGCAGAGAGGAGACAGAGACGAGACAGAATATAGACAGACAGGAGACAGAGAGGAGACAGAGATGAGCCAGAGAGAAGACAGATAGGAGCCAGAGAGGAGACAGAGAGGAGACAGAGAGGAGAGAGAGGGAGGCAGAGAGGAGACAGAGAGGAGACAGAATATAGACAGAGAGGAGACAGAGAGGAGCCAGAGAGAGGAGCCAGAGAGGAGGACAGAGAGGAGACAGAATATAGACAGAGAGGAGACAGAGAGAAGACAGAGAGGAGACAGAGAGGAGACAGAGAGGACACAGAGAGAACACAGAGAGGACACAGAGAGGAGACAGAGAGGAGACAGAGAGGAGACAGAGGAGACAGAGAGAAGATAGAGAGGAGCCAGAGAGGAGACAGAGAGGAGACAGAGAGGAGAGAGAGGAGGCAGAGAGGAGACAGAGAGGAGACAGAGAGGAGACAGAATATAGACAGAGAGGGAGACAGAGAGGAGCCAGAGAGGAGCCAGGAGAGGAGACAGAGAGGAGACAGAATATAGACAGAGAGGAGACAGAGAGAAGACAGAGAGGAGACAGAGAGGAGACAGAGAGGAGACAGAGGAGACAGAGAGAAGATAGAGAGGAGGCAGAGAGGAGGCAGAGAGAAGACAGAGGATACCGAGAAGCCCCCAAGGGCAGTAGCAGAGATTTTCATTACCTAGCTTTTAAAATTTAAAAAACTGACTATCTAAATTTAATTCCTGTTCTCCTCAAGATTTGAACAAAAAAGTACTTTTATTGGCTACATTGTTCCTACCTTGTGAGTATCCCAAACAAAGAAAAGCCAATATATATAGCTGTGGAGTTGGCCTTCAGGGATGTAATTCTCTTCTCAGGCTGTCACATATATTTAATGGTAGATGGCCGAATTTAGCAGTGTAATCAGGGACGTTTTACAGCACCTTCTGCCAAATTGACTATAAAAGTATGGTTTAAAATTAATAAACAATAGCCCCGGTG